TTGCTGTAAGTCACACACACATTTAGTAAGAGGCAGAGCCAGAATTTGAACCTAGATGAGTAGTCTGATTCCCGAGCCTGAGTTCTTTACCAGTTCTTTACTAGATTAAATGAGAGAAAGTGCTTTTTGAATATCAAATATCTATACAAAATTGAGATATTATGGTTATGATTATTACAAGTTATGTTAATCTATCAGAACCCCTTGTCTTGCATCTAAGTGAACAGTACTGGTTAACTGGCCTGCTCAGTTCATGGTGAACTCAAATAAAATCTAAATTTTCTGTATTTTAGGCATCAATATTATCAGCACCCCTGCACCATCTTCCCCCTTCATTATATTGAGAGCATAGATTGTAATAACAATTGTGTTACAATTCTGTTTCTTGTCAATGCCGTCATAAGATAAGTCAGTGCCCTGAAAGAAAGTGCTGGTAAACTTGAATAGGGAGTTATATAAATGAATATAGTAGCAAAAACGCAACAATCTCTCAATTACTGAGTCTGCTTCTTGGGGGCAGATTTCTTCCTGAGATTCAGCAAGTCTGTGTGGCTTCCTGACATTGCGGGCTTGGGTGAACATCGGTGCATTAAATGGCTGCCTCCACCCCCACCTCCACCACTGACCTGGTCACTCACCCACACACCCAGCCCCTGGCAGAGCTCTTGTGTGAGAAACACATCCACCCACCTGGCTTCACATCTCCTTACTAAGAGTTGTTGTGTTCAGAGATGTCGACTTTAAGGCCTTCAGAATTTATTTTAACCATCATGACTATATTAAATGGAGAGGTGCTAAAAAAATTAGTTCTATAAACTGAGGTTTTGAAAGCCTCCCTCCTTTACTCCAGGAATGCCCCGGTATCTTAGGCTAATATTTCCAGTACCAAATCCCAAATAATGATTTAAAGAATGTTATTATTAGGTATAACTTGAATGTCTTTGGGCCTTACCAGCCTGTGGGAATGAATGATATCCCTGAAGGGTTTAGACCCATTTTCACTGGCGTGGTGCTGATGCCCTTGTTTGGCCGAGTCCCAAGCTCCCAAGGCTCTGCCATGAGTGTTCCACACGTGTGGCACTTCCATGGCATCTGTGCTCTGCTGGGCACAGATGCCCAGTGCTGTTGGCTGTTCTTCAAGTGTCTGGGGTGGTACGATGAGACTACCTTTCTTCTTAAAATGAAATCCAGACACAGGATGCTAAATCAATGTCATTTGGTGGCCAGTGTGTTCCAGAGTTGAGTATAGTAGACTCCTCTCCTCCCAGGACCAGCCCTGCACCAGGGGCGCTGGGGAGGGGCGTAATGCTGTTCTTAGTCAATTCTCAAGAAACAGGGACTTTAACAAAAGTGCCTCCCTGAAAACATGGGTGGTGATCCATGGGTGGATTCCAGGAGTCTGAGAATGCCCCTGGGATGGTACAAAAAACTGAGTATTGTAGATGCATATGCACTTTTTTCTGTGGAGTGGGTCCAGTACTTTTAGCAGATCCTGACAGGGGTCTGTGAGCTAAAGAGATTAAGAACTGCCTCCCCCTGAAGGCATTGGAATCACCCCATAGCTCTGTCCTCCCTCCCTCAGGGGGCTTTTAAGTCCCCTTCCACTTGGAGCGGGCGGCAGTGAGAGAAGTCTGTGTGCTCTGTTCTGCAAATAGACTTCTCACGGCCCTCCTCCCCCAAAGCTCTCCAAATAGGCTCAGATATGCCTGAACCCCGTAGAAGACTATGCCTCCAAAAGACAGCCTTGCTACATGACTTTAATTACATTTTAGAAAAGGTAAGTTTGCACATTTTATGGCCAGTCCCCCTGCCTTTGTTGCATTTTAAAACAGCCTTAGGGGGGAAAAAATCCTTTCTTATGGAGAGTGACAACTCATTCCAGGAAGTAGTAGGAGTGGTAATGGAGAGAGTTGATTTAATTAATTTTCCTGCCTAGCTTCATCGCCTGGGAACAGGTAAAATAACCAAATCAAATGGTATAATACGTCATCTTCATGCTCCCCACAATCAAGTCAGGAAGAATTTACTAAATTGTGGAAGCCACTGTATATGGTACAGTTCAAAGAATACGAAGGAGATTTTGAGGCCCCGGGATCAGAGGCACGCCTACAATGGGGACTCTGAAAGGGAGCCCCAGCGAGATTGTGGGAACTGGGAAAGGCCCTCGACTAGAAGAGGGCACCCCATATTTTGGGTGCTGGTGGGAGTGGGAGAGATGGGGCCAGTATGAACTTAGAGGAGGCATTATCTTCATATGAGCCTCATATTTCTTCATTTTGTATTGATTCATACTTCATTCCATCCTTTCCCTATTTTTCTTTTTCTTTTTTNTTGTTGTTTTTTTTCCATTGGGAATCCCTTGGTTCTCTTTCTTAGCTACATTAACTGTAGTGTTAGTTTTCCTTAAAGCACTTCCTGAGAGAAAAATTCGACATGGCCATTTCTGCTCCAGAAAATAAGAATTACCTTAGGGCACAGAAGGAACAAATTAGGGACGATGTGTTTGGCGCATACAAATAAAAAATTATTTTTGCCTTTACAGTAGTTTAATTTTGTTAGACAGGTATTAGTACAGCTTTAACTAAGAGGTCTTCGGAGCTACATTCCCCTCTGCCCTGGTCCTATCCAAGGTTAATACATGATTGACTTTAGCTTTCTGCAAATCCCTTTCTCTGCCTATTTATGAATGAATTTCACAATGTGCCTTTAAAAACTCATTATTTAGTTTTGAATACCCAAGAGGTTGCTTCTCTCCTGAAGAATAATTGTACTTGAGATGAAGAGGAATGCTTCTGAGACAAGGGTTGCCAGATTTAGCAAAGAAAAACGGTCTATCTACTTAAGTTTGAATTTCAGATAGACAACGAATATTCTGTTAATATTATATCCCAAATATTGCATATTTATTTATGGGACATAGTTATGCTTGTACAATATCCTACTAAAAGTTATGAGAATATTACACTAAAAATTATTCATTGAATTTCATATCTGAAATTCAAGCTTAACTGGATGTTTTATATTTTATCTGGCAATCCTACCTGAGAGTGGTTTTCAGATTCTAGATTCTACAGAGATCAGAGCTGGACTGTGTCAGAGTAAGCAGCCCTTTTTTTTTTTTAACTTTCCCAGTAAGTGGAGGGGTTAGAGTGGTAGTCTTTTCCAAAAAGAAATGGCATAGTAAGGGGTATTAGTTCAAATATGTCTGAGCCCTCAGGATTGACACACTCTGCCACCTCAGAATCAGAGTGGATGATAAGATATACGTGTTTAACAATGTTTTATAAATCATTGTTTGAAGCTATTCATTTTTAAGCTATTCATTTTAAGCTATTTTCTGGAGGCATTCATTTTAATTAATTGTTATTCTTTTGTCCTTCCTCCCTGAGGTGATTTTTTAAAAAAAATCTTCAACTCTATAAACCTAATCAGTAAATTCCAGAGTCTATTTAAATATTGACATTAAAATTGTTTTGAGGATTGTAAAAAGCGTTAATGGGATAGAGGGTGATACAAGAGAAATGAAATAGAATTGCCATTGGAGTCAATAAAAAACAAACAAACAAAACAAACTTCTCCAAAGTATTAAGTGAACATAGTTCCTTCAGAATGGAATGTCTATAAGCCATATCTGAAGGTCCAACCAAGGTTTAGTGTAACTAGTATTCGAGTTCAAATGAGTCCCACTAAAAAACCAAACCAAACAACAACAACAACAAATTCTGAATGTCAAACTGGAATCCTAACAGACTCTAAAACTAACCGTATTATAAGTCTAGAATGCTAAGGTCAACAATTTTCAAATAGTTGGATAAACTCTTTAATAGAGGAAGTCTATTGCAATGTGTCGCAATATATCACAGCTGCAATGCCATCCACTGGGCTTCATTTTTTAAAAATGAGAATTTAAGTCCTACCCCAACTTAATTCTTTTCATTTTCAAATACTGACATGGTTTGGGAAGTAGGGGTATTTATAATAGCTTTGTTACCTCTCCCCTCAAAATTCCATAACAGAATGGTGGATTAAAGATGGCTACAAAGTCTTTGGTCCACCTCACATTGAAAAGTGAATAATTTCCTTCCCCTTTAACCTGGATTGGCCTTAGTGACTTGCTTGATCAATAGAATGCACCATAAGTGACATGCTGAGAGTTTTGAAACAATTTTATAAGAAGCCTTTTACTTCCACCCAGGCCTCTTGAAATGCTCTGAGAACCCTGAGTTACTATGAGATCATGTGCCTGGGGAGGCCACATGTAGGCCCTCTTATACACTATTCCAGGAGAGGTCAGCCTTCCAGCCATACGTATGAGTGATGTCTTCTTTCTTGGGCCTTCTGACCAGCCAACCTACAAGCTGAATACTATCAAGGGACTTCTTATTGATGCCTCAGGGAACAGAACAAAGCCCAGCCCAGACCTGCTGGACTTCCCAACCCTTGAAATTATAATATAATAAAGTGGTTGTTATTTTTAAGCCACTATGTTTTGGAGTAGTTCATTGATCAGCAATAGATAATCAGAACCAATAGTGATGTTTGATCTTCACATTTAAGAACAGAATGAGGTGGAAGAAAAGAAGGGTAGGCTGCTTAGAGAAGGTGAAGGGGGAGGGGTGGAATCAAGTTCTCTAAAAAAAAGAGCACACTTGCCATGCACATGAATAAAAGATAGGCTAGAGATTTAGAAGCCTCCCAGCAAGTTTAAAAAAACGAAAGTCACAAATTTTTGGCAAGCTGCTACAGTGATTTTGGGCCACACTTTCAACTTTGGCCCAATTTCTTAGAGATTCAGAGGAAAAACAGCATTAAAGTCTCGCCTCATGCAGATGCTGTGAACAGTAATGAATAAACATGACAAATAAATATGCTGCAAATAAGAGCTGAAAATGCTAAAATGTAAAAAAGCAATCTTAGCACCTAATGAAAATCTTTCATCAGATGATTTCAAATTAAAGGTGCCTCAGAAGAAAATAACTTTGCAAATACAAACATTTTTATTTTTTCTGCTTTTATTGAAAAGGTACATTTAAAAAAATACACAGACATTTTACCATTTATAGATTGCAGATACAGATGCTCAAAAAGAGTTCACTCTATTGTGTTGTGTTATGGTACTTCTTGCCCCTGATATCACAAACATTCCCGTCTTGTTGATATCAGCTTAGAAAGGGGGGCATGGGAGCATGACCTGCAACATATTCAGTGAACAGAAAGACAAATTATTCAATTATAAATTTTTTTTTTATCTTCTGTACATTATTGCATCAGGGAGCCACAAAATTCTGTAGCATCATTACAAATGAAAACAGGTTAAAAATGAAGAAGAAATTACGTAGAAATACATGGATTCATTGTCTTCTTGCAAAATGCACAAGAGGTGCAAAAATGTGCAATTTAGGAAGCTCTTTTCTGTTTGTATACGTTTGCTCAGCAACTCAAACTGGTGAGGAAGCTACAAAATAAATTAAACAAAAATAGCAAACAGGTAGTAATTATAGCTATGTTATATGGCTTTCTAGTTCAGTTAAATATCACCAAAAAAAATGGGAAATAAAGAAAATACATTACTTTATCTTTTGTTCTCTTAAAGAGAAAATTCAAAACTACTTTGCTTCCTAACATTTACACAGCAACTAAAGATGCTGAACGCAGACAAGAGCTACAGCTCTAGTACTACACAGGATACAACAGTACTTGGGTCTAAAACAGTACACAGTCCCTGTCAACAATAGTACACCAAAAAGAAAACGTTGTGATGTGTTGGTAAGATGGTATCCACAAGGAAGCACTTGTGCTCATCTATTTTTGTTCCACACTAGAATGTGCCCAGTTGGATTCCAGAGTTATTTACAGACGTGTGAGGAAGACCCTAGGTTTCAAGTCTGTCAGGAAAATATTCCGTATTGTTTCTAAGCCAGATCACACCCATGGAAAACTAGTCAGTGAAGGATATATGTATATATTGTTTTCTGACCAATACATTTGCAAGAACCCAAACATCTCAGATACACAAATTGAATGGGGCAGGGCAGGGGGAGGGCATAGGGCGATAAAGCCTGTGCTGTTCAGATTCCTAAATGACAGGAGGGCCCCTAAAAGCACTCTTGAATCTAGCGATTTGTTGTTCTTTGGAGTCAGGCTCTGCTGGGAGGCAAGGGGTGGAGGGGGGCGGGGCACTGCGACACAAAATGCTTGACTCACTCAATCCTTTTGGCTTTTCCTCTCAACTTTGCTACTGGCCTCAGCCGGCTGGGGCTTGCAGACATTAGTAGGGAGCAAATAGGATGGAGGCAGGAGTGGCGCGGATGGGCCCGTGGCCGGGCCTCAGGAGAGCGGGAGGGATGGCTGCAGCCTGGAAGAGCGAGGCAGAAGGCCGGGGCGGCAGTGACAGTGCTGAGGACACTGCCGCCGCTGCCGCCAGGGGCGAGGACAGGAAGGCGGGGGCCAAAGGCTTCATCACATCTTTCTGGAATGCAAGTTTTGCCTAATGGAGGGAGAAAACCAGGAATGGGGGGGGGGAAGAATATTGTTTTACATAAGCACCACAGATATATTTTCATAAGTAAAACACAAACATTAAGAAGTCAAATTTT